CCAACTAGCAAACACAGGTGACCCTAATCAGGGAGAAAAACAATTGTAAACAAGGAAGTAACCCAGTGTGATCGTTTGAGACACCGCATTGATCAACCTTTCCCTGACATCCTCCAAAACTTCTCCACTAACTCAATGCTTACAGCCCCTCCTGTCCTAGCTTGCTTCCCTGCTGGCTCGGATGGTAAAGAATCTGCCTGCAGTGCAGAAGACCCAGGTTTGATCCCTGGGTCGGGAAGATCCTCTGGAGAAGGGAATGGCAACCCCCTCCAGTATTCTTGCCTGGAGAATTCCATGGACAAAGGAGCCTAGCGGGCTACAGTCCATGGAGTCGCAAAGAGTGGGACGTGACTCAGCAAATGACACTTTCACATTATCCTAGCCTATGTGGAAAGTTCAGTTTGTCCTCTATTACAGTAGTCTTGCGAAATGAAATATTTTCTGCCATATCAGTAAATAAAGAATATCACAGCCATCAGTCGTTGCAGCCACCACCAATGATGAACTGGTGAGCCCTGAAGGGACTCAGGAAGAAAAGAATATGTGCCATTTAGCAGCCATCAGACTGCAGTCATGCCCTACAGTGAGCCCTGAGGAAGCTCAGGATGTGAAAACACAGGATACTGGTCCCAGTTAGCTGAGGTGCATATCAAAAGGATGACTTCAGTTAGCCCAGGCTCTTGCATTTCCCCATACACAGAAAGTGCTAAATTCCTTAAATTGAGCTATCTGGTTCTCCTTAAAGAACAATAATCTTTTGAGGCTCAGACTACCTGTCTTTTGTTGCAAAACTTCTATGTAACCTGGCTCTTGTCCTTGCTTCCTCAAAGCAGTTCTCTCAGGGTTGCTTGAGATACTGCCTCCCAGCCTTGAAGTCCTAAAAATTCCCACTCAGTAACACATAACTCTCAACTTTCGGGTTGTGAATATTTTTTAAGTCGACAGTCTGAATAGTCTTCTTTGCTGAGATAGCTTTTCATGCTGCAATTTTTGTCTTGATAATACATTTTAAAATTTTGTTTCTCTTTTTATTCTTCATCATTTAGAAATGTGTTAAATGAAGGAATACAGCATATTCAGTGATTTCTCTTCTGATATAATGCAAACTATAGCTTAATGTTAAAGTCAGCATATATAAGCATCTTGGTATATTCATTTAATATACCTATGTATTTAAATCCTACCTTAATGAAATCCACAGCTGAGTTCTCAGAGAAGCCTGTGCTTCTTGCTAGAAGCTTTAGGAAAGAATTTGCTGGCAAGCTCATCAGGCGGGAGGCTGAATTCAGTCCTGGGGTGGTGGGCGGGGGGGATTGTAGAACTGAGGTCCCTATTTTCTTTCTGGCTGTCACCCAGGGGTCATTCTCATTTTCTAGGGGCTGTCTGCTTTCCTCAGTTTGTCATCCTTTTTTCCATTTCAAAACCAATAACATTGTGTCAAGTCCTGATGGTTTGGATCTCTCTGATCTCCCCCACGTGCCTCATCTTTCCTTCACTTTCTTCTTCCTCGTGTATCCGACTCACTTTTTTTTTTTCTTTTAAGGGTGGAAGTAACTGTATTGGGCCAACCTGGTGTATCCTGTCTACACTTCTAGTTTAAATTCACCTAATAAGTAAGCCTTAATTCCACATACAAAGTCCTTTCACATCAGTACCTACACTGATATTGATTAAATATTCAAGGTATGAGAATACTGAGAGAATACCTTTAGTTGCCTACTACAGTTAATAATACCTATTCACCAGGAAGGAGGGAGGCGATTTTATTTAAAAGGTACTGATTATTGGTTAGAATTTATTGCTTTGTACCTTAAAAACAGCATAGCTAATCATGGATATAATATAGCAGTATATATAAATTCAGCAAAGGCAACTAACTACATTGTCATATCACAAAATCCTTGATATGAGTAGGGAAGGGGATATTTTACTCACATTTGGAACCAGAATAGGATTTAGTAATCTGCTTGATTATAAATATCTGTAAGGTTTATTTTATAATTTGATTTGTCATTTTGATGACCACTCTGTGTATGGCAGTCAATTAGGGTCTACAGGTAAGTAATACACATCCTTCTTCTTTTAGGCATAGGCCAGTGACTTTATGTATAATTTTAAATGGTTATGTTTTATTGAATACAGGCACACCGATTTGTTGTGGATTGTTTAAACCTGCATTCCATATACCATTGGTTTCAAACATTCCAGCTGCTTGCTTTCCACAAAGCATTTCTAATCATCTACATAGGGCAGAACTGGACTTTGCTGTATGGTCAAACTACACATTCTCCCAGATTTAAATAAAATAATTCTAAAATACTATCCCTTTATTCCACTGCATGTCTACAAAATTTGGAAATGTGATTTTTTAAAAAACATGCCTCAGTACACGAGTTTTTCTTGTCTCTTGAATTTCCAAGAGTGAGGAACCAGGTCTGCGAAAAAAAAATTTAAGTTGAATGTTCACACATAAGAGGATTATGTACTTGTGTGTGTGTGTGTGTGTGTGTGTGTGTGTGTGTGTGTGTGTTTGTGTATAAGCTTTTATTGTCATGGCTTCTTGATATTTTCAGTTTTGTATTAGGTGCTTGGTTCAAACCTAAGAAAGGATAAAAATCACTCTTAACATGTTTCCTGAGATAAAGGAAACTGTTTATTGTAACTTATTTTAAAAAAATCATTGAGTTCTAGTTAATATATGTAGTACTTGATTTGATAACACTATAGACAGAAATATTACATAGTCAAAGTTAATTACATTGATAATTTTATATTTTCGTTCTACTGAATGAAATTGAGATAATGAGTAGTTAATGCCAAGGGAATCATAAATCCTGATTAAAATGTGTTTTTTGTTCTTTACCCTTACCACACTGTTTATTTTTATGTATCTGATTTTAAGCAGACTTCACATTAATCACTTACCATTAGATTATGTAAAAATGTTTTTATGTATTTTAGAAGCTAAAATAAAATCTGTGTATGATGGGATTGCTGTGTGCTGTGTTTAGTTACTCAGTCATGTGCAATTCTTTGTGACCCCATGGACTGTAGCCTGCCAGGCTCCTCTCCATGGGGATTCTCCAGGCAAGAATACTGGAGTGGGTTGCCATGCCCCCCTCCAGGGGATCTTCCCAACCCAAGAATTGATCCCAGGTCTCCCACATTGCGGGAGGGTTCTTTTCTGTCTGAGACACCAGGGAAGCCATGATGGGGTTAGAATACTGTTTTAAAAATCATCATGCACTTAGTGCCAATTAGCTAGATTTGATAAGAATCTTTGGATAAATTGCTTTTATATAGTAGAACAAAATGCAAAACTGAATTATTTTTGTTCCTCATGTTATTCTCATTCATTTTAAAATTTCTTATGAATATAAATGATACTGTATTATTTATAGTTGATGGTGACTGGACACTCTGAATGCTACCTTTTTCAAAGTACTTTGAGCATATTTCATAGATATTAAGAGAATCAAACCTAGGTATTTATTAAACAAACACATACATAAATAGATGGATAGCACTCCTTATTCTTAATTACACAAGGATTCATTTTGCCAGGGTATTTTCCTAAGGTGTTCTAATTTTGGTGATCTGATAACAATGGAAAAAGAAGAAAAAATAATAGGCCATACTGAACAGAGCAATTGAGTCCTGAACTGCAAATCCTAACCCCAAATGGAGAGTATCCTTAAACTTCTAGATAATGTGCCAGATAAGAAAGCCTTTTCTTAAGGTGAAAAGAGTCCCTGAGAGTCACGGAACTCAATACTGAAATAATATTTAAATATTATTCACCAGGGTTGCATATGCCATGTGTGAGCTATCACAGGTTGGAGATAAATGAATAGGTGGTACACTGGTAAAGAATCCATTTGCCAATTCAGGAGACCCAAGAGATTCAGGTTCAATTGCTGGGTCAGGAAGATCCCTTGGAGTAGGAAATGACAATCCTCTCCAGTATTCTTGCTTGGAAAATTCTATGGATAGAAGAGTCTGGAGGGTTATGGTACATGGGGTTGCAAAGAGTTGGACACAACTGAACAACTGAGCATGACACAAATCTATAATGAATAATGAGTTGGAAATCAAAGCAAAGCAATTTTCAAAGTCTAATATTCAGTTCAGAATTCATGCATGTCTCTTCAGTTGTATTCCTCTTTGCTAATAGATTTTTAAAAATTAGAATTATGTTGCATTATTTGTAATATATTGTTTACTTTGGAGTATTTTTAAAATTAAAATCCTCATCAATGAAGTATTCCTTGACTGCTAATTGATATCTATCTTTTTACCATATGGTCCTAAAATTTGATAAAGTTCTTCTTTGATATGGATTCAAAGCTCATGCTGGATTATTATCTGATTCCATTTCAATTATACCAGCACTATTTTGAACTATATAAAGTTAGTAAAACATAAGATTTAGGAATTTAAGTCAGAGAAAATCACCTTAAAGATCTAGAGACCAAAACCTTCAGCTGAGTGTTCCAAAACCAGATGCATTTTCATTGAACTGAACAAAGTTTTGGTGCAGCCTGTACCCTCTCCCTCCTTCAGATTGCCATGCTGAGCTGAAACAGTAACAGTATTTCTAGAAACTCATTCCAGGATGAATGTGATGGAGTAGATTCACATGAAAGTGTAGAGTCCTGGCAGATACACATAAAGCCAGCCTTTGAGAGGAGAAATAAGGTATCATTTTGAACCATTCTGGAGAAGGGAATGGCAATCCACTTCAGTATTCTTGCCTGGAGAATTCATGGACAGAGGAGCCTGGCGGGCTACAGTTCTTGGGGTCGCAAAGAGTCAGACACGACTGAGCAACTAACACTACTTGAACCATTCACAATCACTGTTTTATCAACTATCTAGAAGACAGAAGATCGTCTAGAGGATGTAATGGGCTTGCTGCCTCTGGTAGTTAGTGGCTGTAATCCTTTGTCATTTATTCTGTAAAAATAAAATAACATGGTCAGTCTTGATCTTGAGTGCTATGGAGCAAGCCACACATGATGCTTAACTAAGAAATGATTCTGGTACATTATAGCTGCTTGAAAATGAAAGTGACTCTCACTGTATTTTACAGGTGTGTATACTCAATATTCAAGACTCTGCTTTGTTTTGAAAAGCATGTCCACATCATGGAGTGAGTACAGGAATGGGCAGTAATGCTGTCTTCAATTTTTGATAATATATTTCACAGACTTGAACTCTTCTTTTCTGAAAGCAAAATAGACTTTGAGTTGAATCTACCAGAATTTGAAAGGAGACTGTTATCTTACTCGCCCAATAGTCTTAACACAAGCTCTATAAAAACTCTGAACACCATTTCCCTCACCTAAAAATAAATGAGACCATACACTTAGCTTTCAAATATTTCAGATATGCAGATGACAGATATACATTATACTCATTAATATGTGTCCTCCAGTTGAGAGTCCCAAATGAACCTTTTTTTTTTTTTTTTTTTTTTCTGAATCTATCTTTAAAGTGGATCCTCTAGTCTTGGGGATTTCAGGCTCAGCCATTCAATTCTTCCTAGGTGACTCATGGACTTCCTGCACATAAAAAAATGGTTGTTTTATTGCCACTAAGATGTTGCTAATTCATTTAGTTACTATGAAAAACAACCAGTTTAAGTAAAACTATTTAACACATGGCTAAGACACATTACAAATGTGTTATAAAATAACATTATATAGTGGACAAATACATATGTTTACAAACATCTACATTGTGTTCTTTAATGACCATTTTGACTATAAAATGATATTTAAAAATTAGTTTATTTAGAAAATTCCCTGTTATTCTGAGCTTGATATATTAGGCACATAATGGCACTAGTAAGCAAATTGAAAAGCACTATATGTTGATGTGGATAAATACATATATACTAATTGCTTATTAGTGCCATTATCAGAAACAAGTACTAGACTAACTAAAGAATCAAGTAATGTGGAATATGTGGTAACTGGGAATTGAATTTCTCTTTTTATTCTGAATGTTATTTATTTGCTTATTGTGGGGAGGGCAGGGGAAGAACTTAGCTCTGGTATTGATAATAGGCCAATATATTGAAAATAAAATCCAAGAACTAATGCTTAGGAACAAATTACATTCCATGATAAAGTAAGGAAGAACGTATGCCAACAAAGAGCTGGGATGCATATTACTGAAGTGCACAAAATGACTTCTTCATGAGGATTTTGTAAGAGTTGAATACTAATTTAGCCAGACTACAACAGGCAAATCGTATGTTAGATGAGAAATAGACACTTTAGTTTCATGAGTCATTGGCTTGGAAAACTGTCTTAAAGATATTAAGGAAGGAAAAGAAAAAGAAGAAAAATCACAATAAAAAATAGAATATCTATCACAAACTATGTCAGCAGGGGTGAAAATATAGCATGATGCATGGAATCGGAGAAACAGAAAATCCAATTTGTCAGGAAGAACTTCTCTCACCTGGCACTTTTTTGACACAAAAAATTGCAACAACATTTTCTCCCTGAGTTAAGATCCCAGAACCTATGAAAGATAACACAACAGTGAAACATTAGACAAGAAAGAGTTTATATGACTAAACTAATATTTTAAAGTTCTTATAACTTTCTCACTAAAAGCTATTCATTATTTTCAATTATAATATATTAAAGCAAAGTATTTAAATTTAAATAATTTCATTACTAGTGGTCAAATTAGATAGTAAAATAACTGTACAATTTAAAATAGAGTTCTTGAAATTTGGTATAGTGTTCTATGATTTAGATATAAAAATAATGAAGTCACTCTAATAAAGTATTTTTCTTCCCCTTGTATTACAAATATATACCATATAAAAAACCTACACATACATATGTATGTATCCATATCAACATATAATGCTTTTCTATTTATTTTTGTTTATGTTAAACTTCATTTAGTTATGATTTACAAATAAAAACTGTATGTATTTAAGGTACACAATAAAATGTTTTGAGGTATACCTTGTATAATGAATACAAAAATCAAGCTAATTAACATATAAATAACCTCACATATAGTTATATTTTTGTGTGCATACAGTGAGAAAACTTAAAATCTACTCACAGGAAATTTTAAGTGTATAATACATTGTAGGATATCATGTAACTCAGTAACAAAAAAACAATTTGATTAAAAAATGGGGAATGGACCTGAATAAACATTTGTCCAAAGAAAACATAAATGGTCAAAAGGTATCTTACGAGATGCTCATCATCACTAATCATTAGGGAGATGCAGACCAAATCACTGCAAGATCACCTTACTCCTTTTAGGGTGACTATCATTAAAAAAAAAGAAAACAAAAAAAAAATAGGTTTTGGTGAGGATGTTGGGGCAAAGGGAATTATTGTGTGCTGTTGGTGAGAATGAAAATTGGTTCTGCCATTAGGGAAAACAAGATAGAAGTTTCTTAGATGAATAAAAATAGAACTACCATAAGATGCATAATCCCACTTCTGGTTATATATCTAAAGAAAATAAAATCAGTATCTTATAAGAGATATTTTGCTCTCCCATCCTCATTGAAGCATACTTACAATAGCAAGGTGTGGAAATAACCTGAAGTGAAGTGAAGTCGCTCAGTAGTGTCTGACTATTTGTGAGACCCCATGGACTGTAGCCTACCAGGCTCCTCCGTCCATGAGATTCTTCAGGCAAGAATACTGGAGTGGGAGTAGGTAGCCTTTCCCTTCTCCAGGGGATCTTCCCAACCCAGGGATCAAACTCAAGTCTCCCACATGGCAGGCAGACGTTTTACCAGCTGAGCCACAAGGGAAGCCCAAGAATACTGGAGTGAGGAGGGCGAAAAACCTGGCTTAAACTCAACATTGAGAAAACTGAGATCATGGCATCCAGTCCCACCCCTTCATGGCAAATACACAGGGAAACAATGGTAACAGTGACAGACTTGATTTTTTTTGGGCTCCAAAATCATTGCAGATGGTGACTGCAGCCATGAACATAAAAGACATTTGCTCCTTGGAAGAAAAGCTATGAGAAACCTAGACAGAGTATTAAAAAGCAGAGACATTACTTTGCCAACATGGGTCTGTATATTCAAAGCTATGTTTTTTTTCCAGTAGTCATGTATGGATTTGAGAGTTGGCCCATAAAGAAGGCTGAGTGCTGAAGAATTGATGTTTTTGACCTGCGGTGCTGGAGAAGACTCTTAAGAGTCCCTTGGACTGCAAGCAGATCAAACCAGTCAACCCTAAAGCAAATTAACCCTGAATATTCACTGGAGGGACTGATGCTGAGGCTGAAGCTGGGATATGTTGGCCACCTGATGTGAAGAGTTGACTCATTAGAAAATACCCTGATGCTGGAAAAGATTGAAGGCAGGAGGAAAAGATGATGACCTAGGATGGTTAGATGACATCACTGACTCAATGGGCACAAGTTTGAGCAAGCTCCAGGAGATGATGACGGACAGTGAAGTCTAGCTTGCTGAAGTCCACGGGATTGCAGAGTTGGACACAACTGAGCGACTGAACAACAACAGTCACCCATATTTTTGGAATCTAAAAAACTAAACTTAGAAAGATAGGGAATAGAATGATGGTTGCCAGGAGTTGGGGAAGGGAAATGGGCAGAGGTTTGTTAAAGAGTACATATGTCGAACTGTGGGGCTAGAGAAAACTCCTGAGAGTCTCTTGGAAAGCACTAAGATCAAACCATTCAATCTTAAGGGAAATCAGCCTTGAATACTCACTAGATGGACTGATGCTCAAGCTGAAGATCCAGTATTTTGGTCATCCAATGCAAACAGCTGATTTATTGGAAAAGTCTCTTAAGCTGAGAAAAATGGAGGGCAGAAGGAGGAGAGGGCATCAGAGGATGAGATGGCTGGATGGCATCACCGATGCAATGGACAGAAACTTGGTCAAACTTTGGTAGATGGTGAGGGACAGAGAGGCCTGGCATGCTGCAGTCCATGGGATCTCAAGAGTCAGACACAGCTAGGCGACTGAACAGCAACAACAAATTTACAAAGTAAATTCTTGAGATCTAAAGTACAGTATGGTGGCTATATTAATGCCAATGTATTATGTACTTGAACTTCTGTAAGAGAGAGCTTAAGAGTTCAAATTATTTTTAGACACATGAACACAGAGGAAAAAATATATATTAAAAAAGATGACTTAGTTATGTGACAAGAAGAAAGCCTTGAGTCATAAATTCAGAGTAAGCATATAAAATACAGAACATTGAAACAGCCTTATTTTTATTGATATGTGCATTGTGTATCTTGAGAAAAGGGCAGGTAATTTTTGAAGCCAGGTCAAAGAAGTCTCAATTTAATACCATAATTATTTCTGATGCAAATCAAGCACTGCTCTGATGATATTTGCTGCTTAATGACATAAGTTGAAATATAATTGTTAAGAGAGGCTAAATGTAATATCAGTACAATTACTCTGTGTGAAAAAAATCACACAAAGGAAAAAAAAAACACAGCTTCAGCTAATATAAGTGACTCAAAATGTTTAGGTATTTAAAATATGCCTTGTTTATTCTCTTATTTATAAAGATAAGTTATATTAATTTGTAAAGACATTAATACTACTCTTTTTTTTTAACATTTATAAACAACTTAATATGCCCTTTATGCTAAGGGTAATCTCTTCCAGTGATCTAATGCAGATCTGCTAAAAGTTATTGTATACAGTTTGGGAAATAAAATAAGAAATCTGCTTTCTAGGCTCTAAAATTTGTTCTCTGTATTTTACTTATCATACTTAAAGATTATAGTCAGCAGTCCCAAACTGAAACTTAGGTTAGGGAGGTGGCCATTTTTCTGAGAATTAGAAGATTGTCATCTTCCCAGAATAAACTTAGTGAGAGTCTCAATATTAGATTATTGGCAACTAAATGTCACCTAGTTGATAGGATATAACTATTGTGCTTAGCATCTTGCCTCAACATAAACCCATGAAAATAGGAAGAGGAGAAATTTTAATTTGCTAAAAATCAAATATTATTTAGGCACTTTGCCTAGAAGAGAGAGGATATAATGTAATAAATCAATAAATTTCAGTGTTATATATGTGACAGTTGCAGGATAGTGCTAAACAAAGCACATTACAGGCATTTAACTCACAACCAGGTTAAAGAGAATGTTTCTTAAAAACATTTTAGATGCTTGAACAGTTTTTTCTAGTTGAGAAGTAGCTAGATAAAGAATTTTTTGGTACAGGAAGAGTTACTGGTGGAGCAAAGGGCGTGTACAGCTTTTCAGCTGTAAGAGGTTTTTGAAGAAATTACAAATAACTTGGTATATGGAAAGCTGAGGGATAAATTTCAGATAGGTCAGTGGAAAAAAAACATGAAAATACTTTTTTAAAAATCCATATATTGACACCATTATTTGCTAAGCTAAAGAGATTAAATGTTATGCTCAAAAGTACTAGAAAATCTTAAATTACTTAAGGATATGAAAATTATGTGATGACACTGATGTTTTTATAGTTCCCAGACAGAATTTATAGTAGTACTTACCATAGTACAGTATGCAAATAAATCCATTAAGTAAGGAAATATAGACTATTGCTTACTTATATAAAAATAAAGGTAAAAATATTGCTTATTTTTGACATATTATCCATTCTAGTTCTCCTATGTGGCTTGTGTGGTTTAATTTTTAGTTAAACAAAATATTTACAATATTATTTTTTAATCAAAAAGAAGTAAGAGCAATTTGGCATTTATCTAAATGAGTTGAAAACTCGGAGCTGCATAAAAATCTGCACATTAACATTTAAAGCAGTTTTATTTGTGATTGTCAAAACATGGAAGTAGCCAAGATGTCCTTCATAGGCAAATAAATAAATAAACTTTGGCACATTGAGACAATAGAATATTATTCTGTGCTAAGAAGAAATTAGCCACCAAGCCATGAAAAGACAGGGAGAAAATGTAAATGAATATTACTAAGATAAAAAGCCAATCTGAAAATGCTATTTACTGTATGATTCCAACCATGTGACATTCTGGAAAAGGTAAAATTATGAAGACAGTAAAAAGATCAGTAGTTGCCAAGTGCTAGGGGCGAGAGATGAATAGGCAAAGCACAGGAAATGTTCAGGATAGTGAAAAGACTTTGTATGATATTAAAATGATGGTACATGTCACATACAGTTGTCCAAATTTATGGAGCATAAAACGGCAAGGTTGGGAAGATCCCCTGGAGAAAGGAATCCATTATTCTTGCCCAGAGAATTCCATAATCAGAGGAGCCTATCGGGCCACAGTCCATGGGGTTATAAAGACATGGATGTGACTAAGCATTGTGGAGCTATCAAGGGAACATTTCATGCAATGATGAGCATGATAAAGGACAGAAATGATAAGGATCTAACAGAAGCAGAGAGAGTCATGCCCGACTGTTTGTGACCCCATGGACTGTAGCCAACCAGGCACCTCTGTCCATGAGATTTTCCAGGCAAGAATACTGGAGTGGGTTGCCATTTCCTTCTCCAGGGGATCTTCCTGACCCAGGGATC